TTTTCTACGTGGCTGTTAAACAATACGCACTAATTGCAATAGACAATTTGCTATTCTACACTGAACTTAATTCCACCTTCATTTGAAAATTTCACATAGGATTCCCTCTCCAAACACCTCATTTGATCGAATGATCGTAGCATATGAAACTGAATTGAAAGTGGGTGGCAAAGCTGAGAACTGATTAATGAGCGAAATGCAATTCACACGAAATCATTTACGCTAATGAATCTAACTGAAATGAGAATGAAACGCTCGAAAGATACGATGAACAATAGTAATCGTCATAATAACATCCACCAATAAGAGTTGATCAGGTTCTCGCGTGCGCTTCGGCTCTGGTTGAATAGTGAATTTGGCTAATTTGAATAAACCCATTCATTAATTTATGATACGCTCATAATTCATCGTTAAATTGACAAATATACGCATGTGTTTGTGTGCGCATATGAATATTATTATATCATTATTATTATTATTATGATATAACAGTCATATACGTTACGATGATATAATGCACTATCGTGGGTGATCAAACAGCTACGCAAATGATTATATGCAACGCTATCGTCGTTAGCCGTCATTTTGAATCGGAAGTAACCGATTTTATTTTTTGCATATGCCGTGAATTATTAAAGGCAACACCAAAAAACTAGAAGTGAACGTAACATTCCAGGAGAATAAAAAAAATCGAGAACAAACTAAAAAGTAGTACAAATTGATGATAATTCCGTCTTCGTTGGTAGGAAGAATCAACCATGAAAAAAAACCCCATGGTTATGATAGTCTCAAATAGCGAAATCACAAAAATTTTAGCAAAATTCTTTGTGTGTTTACGTTAACTATAAGATAATCTCCAGATTTCTTCAAATATCGCTTTCTTTGAATTGCTCTCGATTCAAAAATCGGATACACCATCAAAGATATCAGTAAATTTAATTTATCATCATTCTCCACTATTCGCTTATGAGCAAACGCGCAACATCGTGATTAATGATCAAATGTAAAAATCATTCTGAGGATAGCCTCTAAAGCACTGTGAACGTGATTGTGAATCCGTGATTCAATCTGCTAGATTCACCTTAGTTGGAACTCTCGTTTCATTTTGTAATCATTTGAGTTGACGTTAACATTCGCGTTTTCGGGAAATCGATTCATTTTAATAATTCACTCTGAATTCATTAACGCNATCTGCCTTGTGTTCAGTCATTTCAAACTAATTTCATTTTCCTTATTCATTCATTCATCTCATTAACAGACCATCAGACCACAGGACCTTTCCACTCTCTAACATTTATTCTCCTTGATCCATCATCCTCTACTCTGGTCATTCCTCTCTTCTTCCCCTTGAACGCCGTTATCTATTCCTCATTTTTTGTCATACTCATTCGAATTCATTCGTTTTCCCATTGCGTCTTCAATTCCTTTATTGGATTCAATGTCGTCCATTACGATGCATTCACCTAACTCCTTCTGTTCGCCTAAACCATAAATAAACTCATTTGCGCACAATTGAGCAATCATCCGGCGATGAAGATCATTACAAGTCGTTGTTAACCATCGACATAAATTAGGTACATCAGCAACAAATCTTATTCGCAGGACAGAGTCTCTTCATCACTCATTTGTTCATTCAATCACCAATATCTATTAGCTTCTACTCTGCGCATTGCGTTCTCTCTTGAAGACAGCAGCATTCTATGCACAAACAAATTCCTTGGTTGAGACTTGAGACAAGTCAGTTTCAAAAATTTGGAAATCAAGGGGAGGGAATTCTTTAGACCTTCAACGAACGCTCTTTCGAATATTGCACATTTTCCGTTTATGAGAGTTCAAATTATCGACTGAAAAGTTCACTGCAAATGCTCAACTTATTCAAGTGTCTTTGAAAACAGGAATCGTTCATGAGACTCAAACAGCGTATGTGTAATTATCGCTTTTGAAAAAATGAAAGCACCCTCTTATGAACAATGCCGCAGTCAGCAGCATGAATTTAAACGATGCATATTTAATGCTTGAAGATGTCCTTGAATGGTGGAAGCTTTTCGCGGAAGATTTTCGCTGTGCAGACGAGACAAGGAATAGGTCTTTTAGTCTGCTAATGAAGCATTTGCATTCTGTCTGTTTAAATATTGAGAAATGATGCTTCAAAAAACTGCTATGAACAATTCGAATCTGCAATTTAAGCCACTTAATTGGCATTCAATTATTCATTCAGTTTTACATCAAAATATCGCGAGAATCCATCACGGTAAGTCCACGAAAGGGCTTCAAAACATCTTATTCATTGTCGTACATCTTATTCAACCTAACCATGAACGTCATCATCATATAATAAATAAACACAAACACCACATAATAAACACTCCAAACGAATATCTCCTACCTCCAAATGAGATTGTTTTCATAAGAACACAGTGACGAGCAAACAAGCGTATAATGTAGTGCTTCTTACAAGGGGATGACCCCCCCCGAGGAGGAATATGAGGGTCCTGGAGTAAAAGGAGGATTGCGGAGTTTGCCAAAGCATGCTTAATTAGTTTTTCTTTTTTATCCAATATGACATCTTCAAAACATATCGTTGATCACTTTAAGTGATTCCGTCAATATCATTGACCAATTTTTGATCACTGGATCAATTTCTTCGATTTTTTCCGTTTTATCAGCAACATACGATAGATTTTTAGAGAGGGGTGGGGTTGCGGTCATTGTTGGAAGATGAATGACGATCTGACATACAACCAAATGTGGTAAGGATTCTGAGAACATAGCAATGACTGGTAAAACAGGAGAGATGAATGTTGTTGAACAAGGAAATGAAGTGAATTTGTCGAGTAATATGAAATGTTGTCAATTTCAGTGAAGCAATAGTGAGGAACGCAGATGTTACGAGACGTGCACCAATATGGCGATTACTTAGCGATGACTTTTGGGGTATCCCTCTAGCACATTCAGGCTCGCATAAAAGCTACCGACCGTTGACTGTGCTGACGTTCCGTCTAAATCACGCAATCACTGGACTGAATCCAATCAGGTGCTGTTATCG